ATCAAAGTTCTTAGATCTGATAATGCAAATGAATACTTTGCTAAGCCATTGGCATCTTACCTTCTTAATCATGGGGTTATCCACCAGAGCACTTGCCTTCATACACCTCAGCAAAATGGAATTGTGGAAAGGAAGAATAGGCACATCTTGGAGGTGGCTAGAAGTATTATGTTTACCTCCAATGTCTCTATTCGCTTCTGGGGTGATGCTATCCTCACGACGGTATATCTTATTAATCGGGTTTCTTCCCAGGTTCTCGATATGAAATCTCCTTTTTCCCTTCTATACCCAAATGAGGAGTTRTTTGTTGTTCCCCTTAAAACATTTGGTTGTACCTGTTTTGTTCAGCTTCTCGGACCCCATCACTCCAAGTTCGAACCAAAGGCCTCCAAATGCATTTTTCTTGGTTATGCACAAATTCAAAAGGATTATTGTCGCTATGATCCTGTCTCAGGGAAGATATTTGTCTCCATGGATGTCACTTTCTTTGAGGAGACACCCTATTATTCCCGGGTTTCTCCTCAGGGGGAGAGCAGTGCGAGTGGGGATTTGGGTCACTTTCTTCAGGGGGAGCGCAATGAGGGTAGGGTTAATACTTTTGGGGCTGTTCCCTTACCTATTCCATTGGGTGATGAGGGCTACAATAGTGAGAGGTGGTCAGAGGTATCAGGAGTTGAGGGTCTATCACAGGCGATGCAGGTAGGTTGATCCCGGTCATCAGCAGTCCAGGCCAGCTCCAATCTCTTCTATGGCTCCAAGTCCAGGTATTACAGTCCCAGGGGCCACGAAGACTTCTTCCACTGTTGCCACTTCACCTCCTACAAATGACCTTGACCTTCCCATTGCCGTCCGTAAGGGGAAACGACATTGTACCACATCTACAACCCACTATATTTCCTAGTTTTTATCCTATGATCGCCTATCTCCCACCTACAGGTCCTATCTTACTTCTGTTGCCAATGTCCCTATTCTAAGAACAGTGCAAGAAGCCCTATCCGTCCCAGAGTGGAAAGATGCAATGCAAGTTGAAATTGATGCCCTGTTGAAAAATAACACTTGGGAGCTAGTTGATCTGCCCAAAGGAAAGAAACCAGTTGGATGCAGATGGGTATTTACTGTGAAGCACAATGTGGATGGCTCCATTGAGAGGTATAAAACTCGGCTAGTTGCAAAAGGGTTCACCCAGACTTATGGTATAGATTACTTGGAGACCTTTGCCCCRGTAGCCAAGATGACCACCATTCGAGTTCTATTATCTCTTGTAGCAAGCCACACTTGGCCTTTGTACCAAATGGACGTTAAAAATTCTTTTCTAAATGGAGACATGTAGGAAGAGGTTTACATGCGGTTGCCTCCTGGATTCAATAGAGACAGGTAAGAAGGTTTGTCGGCTCAATAGGACAGTAGAAATATCAGCCCCAATTTTTTAGTTGACAACCCCAATTTTTAGCACCTATAACAGYGCAAGGCCAACCCTCAAATTTAGGTATGTCATTAGATGAAAGAGTTAAGGCTCTAGCTATTAATACTTAGCAATTTCAGTAGGAAACAGGAGCCAGCATTCAGAATTTGGGGAACCAAATCAGCCAACTTGCCACTTCCATTAGCAAGTTGGAGGCGCAGAACTCCGAGAAACTACCATCACAAACGGTAGTCAACCCAAAGGAGAATGCAAGTGCAGTAGTGTTGAGAAGCGGAAAGGAGTTGCAGCCTCAACCAAGCTCACCATCGAAAGCAGCTAAGGGAGACAAGGAAAAGGAGAGACACGGGTCAAACGAAGACCCCATTGAGGTAATATCTGGTCCCCCTCTCCCTAAGGTTACTAATGTTGTTATACCACCCTTTCCTAGTAGGTTGCAGAAGTCCAAGAAAGAGGAATATGAGCAAGAGGTGCTAGAAACCTTTAGGAAGGTGGAGATCAATATCCCTTTGTTAGATGCTATAAAGCAGCTCCCAAAATACGCAAAATTTTTGAAAGAATTATGCACTAACAAAAGGAGGCTACGAATCGATGAGAAGGTAAGAATTGGAGAGAACGTTTCAACCGTGATCAAGAGGACCTTATTAGAAAAGCGTGCTGATCCAGGTATGTTCACCCTACCTTGTGTGATTGGCAATAAACGAATCAAGCGTGTCATGCTAGACTTAGGTGCATCTATCAATGTCATGCCATACTCGATTTACTGTGCCTTGAGATTAGGTCATTTAAAAGAAACTAGAGTTGTTATTCAATTAGCTGATCGTTCTAATGCCTACCCAAAAGGGATTGTTGAGGATGTATTGGTGCAGGTTAACAATTTAATTTTTCCAGCTGATTTCTACATCCTGAAGATGGAGGATGATACAGTCACAAGTTCAGCCCCACTTCTATTAGGCAGGCCATTCATGAAAATGACCAAGACCAAAATAGATGTGGACGAGGGTACCCTCTCCGTCGAATTCGACGGAGAGATCATTAAATTCAATATTTTTTAAGCAATAAAATATCCAAGTGAATGTCATTCGATCTGCTCTATTGATACCATCGATTCGATTGTGCAAGAAGTCTTTGGAAAGGAGGACATGGATGATGAACTAGAGTTCAATGCACAATCGAACAAGGAAGAGGAGTTCGATGCATCCTATGATAGTCCGGTACCAATGCCGGAACAAGAGGTAAGCAATTATGATATTCCATCGACATTTTCTCACAAAAAATTGCTACCTTCTGTTTTGCAGGCTCTGGAGTTGGAACTAAAGGCCCTACCTGATCATCTTAAATATGCATACCTGGGCAAAAAAGAGACACTACTCGTGATCATTGCGAAAGGGTTGACTGAGGAGCAGGAGGAGAGGCTCATCAAAGTCCTAAAGGAACATAAGGCGGCGATTGGTTGGACCTTAGCCGACATAAAGGGGGTCAGCCCCTCGATTTGCATG